CCCCCCACAACAAAGAATAAGCTACACGATTTTTTAACACATGACCATTAACATAATTACCCCAAACAACAATTTTAGGTGCGTTAATCATAGATCGTAATTATTCGCCAAAATATTCCAAGGTTGATTTTTTTATTTATGTTAATTCATTTTAATTTTTCGCTATGCTAATTATACAGGATATTATTTCAGGCAATTGGAGAGTTTAGTTAGATTAACTGAAGCCAGAGCTAAACTAGAACTCAGGGAAGAGGCTTCAGAACAAGATGCCAGGTTAGAGGGAGGAGGTCAGGTCTAGGGAGTAGTGGAGTTCATGTCTAGTGGAGTAGTGGAGTTCATGTCAAGGGAGTAGTGTGGAGTGGAGTAGTGGAGTTTATGTCCAGGGGAGTAGTGGAGTTTATGTCCAGGGGAGTAGTGGAGTTCATTTCAAGTAGAGTAGTGGAGTTTATGTCTAGTGGAATAGTGGAGTTTATTTCAAGTAGAGTAGTGGAGTTCATGTCTAGTGGAGTAGTGGAGTTCATGTAAAGGGAGTAGTGGAGTTCATTATAAGTAGAGTAGTGGAGTTTATGTCCAGGGGAGTAGTGGAGTTCATTTCAAGTAGAGTAGTGGAGTTTATGTCTAGTGGAATAGAGGAGTTTAATTCTAGGGGAGCAGTGAAGTTCATGTCTAGTGGAGTAGTAGAGTTCATTTCTAGTGGAGTTTACGTCTCGTGGAGTAGTGGAGTTAATGTCTAGTGGAGTAGTGGAGTTCATGTCGAGTTGAGTAGTGGAGTTCATGTTTATTGTAGTTTGAAGATTAGTAGAGTTCATGTCTAGTGAAGTTGTAGAGTTCATGTCGAGTGAAGTAGTGGAGTTCATGTTTATTGTAGTATAAGAGTTGATGTCTAGTTGAAGTGATGTGGTTGAGCTGATGAAGTTAAGTATGATGGATATGTTAAAGGATGTGGTTGAGTGTATGAATTTTATATTAAGGGAAGTGGTTGAGTTAATGAAGTTTATGTTAAGGAATGAGATTGAGTTGATGAAATTTATATTAAGGGATGTGGTTGAGTTGATGAAGTTAATGTTAAGGGATGTAGTTAGGTTGATGAAGTTTACATTAAGAAATGTGGTTGAGTTGATGAATTTTATATTGAGGGATGTGGTTGAGTTGATGAAGTTAATGTTAAGGGATGTGGTTGAGTGTATGCATTTATGTTAAGGGAAGTGGTTGAGTTAATGAAGTTTATGTTAAGGGATGTGTTGAGTTGATGAAGTTTATGTTAAGGGATGTGTTGAGTTGATGAAGTTTATGTAAAGGGATGTGGTTGATGAATTTTGTATTAAGGGTTTTGGTTGAGTTAAGTTAATATTAAGGGATGTAGTTGAGTTGATGAAGTTTATGTTAAGGGATTTAGTTGAGTTGATGAAGTTAATGTTAATGGATTTGGGTTGAGTTGATGAAGTTTATGTTAAGGGATGTGGTTGAGTTGATGAAGTTAATGTTAATGGATTTGGTTGAGTTGATGAAGTTTATGTTAAGGGATGTGGTTGAGTTGATGAAGTTAAATATGAAGAAGTTCGTGTTAATGGATGTTGTTTAGTTGATGAATTTGATTATGATAAAGCTAATTTTAAGGGATGTGGTTGAGTTGATGAAGTTAAGTATGATGGTTACTATGTTAAGGGATGTGGTTGAATCGATGAAATTAAGTAAGATGGATACTATGTTAAGGGATGTGGTTGAATTGATGAATTTAAGTATGATTGATACTATGTTAAGGGATGTGGTTGAATTGATGAAGTTAAGTATGATGGATACTATGACTGATGAATTTGGACAGCTGGATTTAAGTAGGTACTACCAAATAAATATAAAGGGTGTATTATTTCTAGAATTTCATTTGCCTATTATTTTTAAATAAAAAGAAAACTTTTATCAATTAGTTTTCAAACATGAATCTAAAAGCAAATTTAGAAAAACACACAAAAATTAATTTTTGAGAAATATTGAATAATGGTCTAATTATTCTTAGGTCTCATATGGGCTCGGGAATGTCGCAGAGAAATCTTGCTAAAAGGTAAAACATCTATAATATGTATATATTTTTCCTTGCATTAGGATTCTCCGCTATTTTTTATTCTCGTATCCTATTCTTTTATTCGTATATTTTGGGCAGTGCTTAGGATCTGGATCCGTTGGATCCGCAAGATTTTGGATTCCTGGATCCTGATCCGTAAAAATATGCGGATCCACGGATCCGGATCCAAGGGGCAAAATATCAACAAAAAACTGCAAAAAAAAATTACTCTCTAACCCCAAATCCGAACTATTGAAAAAAGAGAGATTATAAAAATTTCCTGATTTCTGAATGGTTCATCGAGTTTTAGCATAAAAATAAGCGAAAAAAAAAATCAGTTAATTTTATAGAAATAAATAATAGTGCGGCCGGATCCATTTTTTTCCAGTGCGGATCCAGGATCCGGATCCGCATCAAAATTAAATGGATCCTAAGCACTGATTTGGGGTTTTCTTTATCCTTCCTTAGATTTTTTTTTTCTTGTATTTTTACCTTGTTTGCTTTCTATATTTATATTATATTTAATTATTATAAAATTTTCGTATTAATTTTATTTTTACCCCTTGATACCATTTTATTGTGAGAGTTCTTTGTTTAGATTTTTATTAGGAATATTAAACTTTGTAGAAACCTAACATTTCAAGTTTGATTAGTAAATTACGTTTCTAACTTTGATTAATCCATTAAATTATCTCATTTGATTATTAGAAACTTTATCAAAATCAAATGATCAAAATTAAAGGGTAACGTTTTAAAAAGGAGTACAAAAAAGTAATAAAAGATGAAAGGCCAAAAAGATAAAAGAAGAGAGAAAGAAAAAGATAAAAATATAAATAACTTGAACAAAAAGTATTCTGGGATTTTTCGGACCTCACTAATTTTTTGGTTGACTGTTTTTTTCATCATTTTTCAAGGGGGTATTTTGATTATCATTATCATTGTCATTGTCATGGTCATTGTCATTGTCATTATCAAACATTATCAAAGCTGAACTGCGTATATAGGTTAGTGTCTGCTCTGCAGCGTGAAGGAGAGAGAATGCAAAAAAATATTTTCCATCTTGACGAAATTAAACAAATTGGAAGGTAAGGAAACCAATTCAAGGGGAATTCAATTTTCAGGGAAAACTTTGGAAGAATTTTTTGGGAACTCCCATTGCCATAAAAAAAATCTGCGCAAATATTTTTCTTAAAAATTAAACGAGTAGAAAACTAGAAAGTTGAAAACGATTACTTCTATAAAAGCCTAAAATTTGATCGGATTGACCAATTCAGAGATATTCTATAGAATATTCAAAACTACTGAAATCGATACAATTTCTTCTTCCGTCGACCAGCAAATAATGAAGTTGAATTTAAAATTGCATTTTATTTAAATTGTCCTCCAGTTTTTTGAAGACATTTCACAGCTCTATTTTTCTCCTGTTCAGGAATCTGATCTAAAAACCTTTTGATCTAAAGGGAATTTTATCTGATAGTAAAACGCGGAAATTGATCTGAAATATTTTTTAGATCAAAGTCCGCACTTTTCCGAAAATTTTCGGAATTTTATCTTAAAATATGTGGAATCTGATCAAAAATATTTTTTTTCAGATTTGATTTTTTATTTAAACTTTGTTTTAAAAAGTGTAAACTCTGATCTATAATTTTATAATTTGAGTAAAATTCCCATCTTTCAAACTTTTATTTGAAAAAAATGGTACAGAATTGAGAAAAATTCTTATATGTAGAAATAATAAAAAAAAAATTACACAAATATTTACAATATGCTTCTCGCAGTTTACTCTCTACTTTTTGATATGGAATACATACTAGTATGTAAAAATATTGATTTAAAAGTTTACAAAATGTGTAAGGTTCTGACCTTTCAAATCAGAGTCCACATAGGTCAGATTTTTTCAGGTCAGATTCCTTTTAGATCAAAATGGTTATAGATCAAATTCTAGTGCACCATTTTTATTAATCTTTTCAATGGTAGCCTTGCTGAAACAATTACACCAGAACTAAAACGTACATATATTTACTCCGTGTATCCGATCTTACTGAAATTTTAGGATTAGATCGACATTATTGATTGTTTACAGTATGTTAACGTAGGATGGCACAGATTCCAGGGGAGAAGATGTTCGATTTAATCTCTTCTTTAAATAACCAGGTAGATCAGGGGTAGACGTGGGGCTCTGGCTGCAGTTAAACAGGGGGTTCCAGTTAAACCAGGGGGTAGTAGGAGGAAGGGGGGTCGTTCCATTAGACCAGGGTTAAAAGCATAATTTAGTTAAGAATAAAGTTAGTTAGCAATATTTTAAATCCACATTTTTATCTGATGTTTCCTCACATACCCTTGAATGGTTTGGAATCTCGGTTTCCCTATATCAGCTTTGTCGTGCACTGCCTGCCTGAGTATAGCTTGTGTATTTTAGGGATTCTTGATCAAGAAATCCGGAAAAGTTTACCAGATGCTCTCCCTGGACGGGTAAAAACTGATCTCTGAACAGTGAGCAGGGAAACTATTCTCAAATTATAAATCGAGGAGGAAGAAAAATATCTTCAAAGGCTTAAAATATACCTCATGCTAAAGTCAATATACATGTTGGTTGCATCATGTGGTTTCATATCAACATTAAACTTTTGTTTTAAAATAAAAATCCTGATGCATTTATCAGATGTTTTCCTAAGCACACTTTTTCTATTTAATTGGTGATAATGATGATAACATAATGGAAAAAGTTTTGATGCTTTGAAATTTACTGTGATGAAACTGACTGATAAAACATTTATTTTTGACATCTTTATTAAATTTATCTGTGATTTTATATTTTTTCAGACTTAGAATTAAAATGCTACAATCACTGCCATGTTGTATTTAAATATTGCATTTTAACTCTTTATCTCGGATCTAAGATGGTGCCAAGAAAAGAAAATGGCGGAAGTGCGTCTGGCAGTATTCGGTCCAGTGAAGACAGGTCACAATATTTATGGAACCAGTGTTACTCATAAAGGAGTCTACTTTAGATTCGACTTAAAATTATTCCCTGCATCTTTCAGCTTGTTTCTTGTTCCTCAATTCATTAAGTTTGCCCTTATAAATACCATTCGACGCTTAGAATTAAATAAAATTCAACATCAGATTTCTCATATAATCACAAATAAAGAGTTTCTAGTTAGTTGTCATTAAGGTTTCATTTTTGTGGGTAGCGCTGTTTTTTTAATAGAGTCGGTAAAGTTAAAGATTTTTAAATGATTTATCAAAAATAAGGTTTTAAAATAATATCTTGTGCAAATCATGAGACTACTAAGACGAACTAAAACAAATGCTTGATTAAGAATACGGTTTGTTAGGGTTTATTTAATGATTTGACAATCAGAAGAGAGTTGCAGGAAATCATAAATACAAGAAAACAGACTGTACAAATTACGAGCAGTCGTCTCGTTAACTCTCATTCTTATTGGGTATCCCTGTATCTGCAAGTATTCTGCATATTGACATAAATAAAATCACTTCAATTCCATGCAACTTTATAAGTTATTGTGGGGCAGAACACCCCCCAAAAATGGATCAATGGAGGGGAGGGGAGGTGGGGGGTGATACCCCCATCCCCTCTCTATGGTAGAGGAGGAGAATTGATCATAATTGATTAATGTTGCAGGTGTGAGCAGTCTCAAGCTGATCATGAACTTTTTCTTCAAGCGTTTGAAAGTATGTTTTATATATTGTTATATTTGAAAGTATGTTTTATATATTGTTATATTTGAAAGTATGTTTTATATATTGTTATATTTGAAAGTATGTTTTATATATTGTTATAGTTGAAAGTATGTTTTCTATATTACTGGTATAATTGGAAAGAATTGCTTCCAAACTAATATTTTTTATTCCAATCCGATGTTTCTTAAGTAAATATTGGATAAAAGTACTCGCTATTGAACTGAGGTGACCAGCCTGACATTTTCTATTGCAGCCTCGAAATATTATGATTCGGATGTAATGCCAATGGTGGTATATCAATAAGTTTTTAGTAAAAAGGGACGAAAAAATGTATTTTTTTTTTCATACACTAATACATCATTAAATTATATATAAATGTACATGATTGTGCCCCCGGCTCCCCCTCCTCCTCCTCTGTACTATCCCCCTTCCCCTGGGTTGGCGGCAAAGTAAAATCTTTTCTATTTAATTATTTATTGATTTTTCCTTAGAAAGAGATTAATTAGTGTTTTTCTAAAAATAAGGAAAAGATTATCTATAAATAAAATAAAATAAATAAAACAGTCACTCTTCAGTCCAAGGAATGTTTAGGGAAGATCCCAAGTCACCGCACTTCCTCCAATGGAAGTAGCGGAGTGTTATTGGTGGCTGGCCACACCGGTCAAAAAGTGAACCACCAAGCACGGGTCAAGTTCAATGGCGTACTACCACAGTCCCACTACACAGTGCACACTTACCAGATACACAGATGTCCTGTCGGTACCTCCATGATTTTTTATATAAAAGAGTTAAAGAGTGTAAATTTAGTACTTAGTCATAAACCGGTTTACCTCATAAAGCACCCTATTGATCAAAACCTTCTGTTGCTGCCAACCAAGCCTTAACTAGGACAGCCATTTTCCGGCCCCTATTCAATTACGCTTCGAGTAAAAATTGCATGAAATTTCGGTGTTTATGCGCAAAAGCTATTTCGCGCAAATTTTGGAGAAAATCTTGTATTTGCGTATTTCATTATTTCCTGCTATTTCGTTATTTCGAGCTTTTTCGTTAAATTTCGAGAAACAATTCAATGAAATCAAGAATCAATTCAAAATTAAACCAATCAAATTTAGAGTCAACTAAATACTCGGCGCTCACACATGCTGGCCGAATGAGCCCCAATTCTCAGGTTTTAGGTCACCGGACCATACTGACTATTATACCTTTTACCGGCAATCAATCTCAAGTAGTAACTGAGTTACTCACGAATTAATTAATCATAATAACATTCACTAATCATCAGTCCGGTCTGAACTCGGAGACGAGCAGGGTTAGATGGAATTTGTTTTTTACTGAAACTAATTCACACCATACCATCAACATATTAAAATCTTTCATATTTATGTACTATATGGCATGCAACAAATATTACTTAATTTCATTCTCATGCACACTACTGCTGGGCATTGCAAAATTACATGCAAAAATGACCTGTATTCATGCGAAATATCATGAAAAAATTCTGACTTAAATTTCGTATTCATGCGAAATTTCGTGCAAAAAAATCATTTATTTCGAATGAATTCGCAATTTCGTGCAAAACTGGTTTTGTACTGATACGAAAATGATGTGGAATTTCGTGCCAAAAAAAATCATTTCGTGCAAAACCACGCAACTGTTGCCAAAAGAATTGACTGTTTCGTGGAAACCCTAGCTGGAACCTGGAAAATGAACCTTTCCACCATACGTTTCATTGTATCCTTTCAAGCTCTGACAGGGTATTATATAGATTAGATATGAATAAATATGATCAACTATTAGAAGATTTTTTGTATCATATCTACAAGTTGTTTCATGCTTTTGAAATCTACAGAATACTATATATGTATATTATAATTATTATTATTTTTATTATTAATGGACAAATATATATACAAATACATTTATATACATATAATGTTTAGAACCTACTCAGATCTACAGATACTTGAAGATCAGAAATAAACTCTCTCCAACATTTCTCCACAGGAATAATTTTTGAAAATTATTATTCACTATTTTTATATGTAAAACAGTTTTTTTTTCTCTCTATTTTCATATCATAATTGGTTTAATAGATATATCTAAAATTACATTTTTACCAAGAGAATTAATCAGATAATTTCCCATAATTTTTTTTTTATTATTTGGATTCATATCATAAACATGAATTGATACCATTAATAGTAGTGAAATTTTATTACTAATATGAAAAAATCGACATATTTAAATCCATTCGTGTTTTATATTTATCTCTAAGTTAGTAGTTTTTAAATATAGACTGGATCAAAAAAGGTTGGCGGGTTAGTCTTAGTATAAGCTATGCATTAAATAAATAAATAAATAAAAGATCAACCATCATTCCGTGGAAATCAAGGCCGAGACCCCATCAAAAATAACCACCAAAGGAAGGGTGGAAATTAATGTATATCCGATTATGACTCAAGTCTAGTGTGATCGAGACATCGAGGTATCGGCCAGTGACAGAAGTCACCTCCCGACTGCACACAAACTGGACTAGTGCATTACGCTTCATAAGTCCAGTATGAATCCGTTAAATATATTTCTGATATTATTGATTAATTGATTAATTAGAGTTGGTTATATAATATTAATAAATGTCATGTATATGTTCCCTCTGGCTGATCAAACGGTTGGACCAAATGGGCTGAACATTTTGTGGACGCCCATGGGTGCCCGGGGGATGTCCTAGGCTAAAAAAATTCGAAATTTTATAAAGTAAATTTTTGTTTTGTTTTTAATTTTTTTTCACGGGCGACGCCGTTTGTCCAGTCAGTATTTAATAAAAAAACGAAGGTGGCCCGTGGCCTTTATTAGCCTGGATCCGAATGGGCATGAGGTGGGTCAAGTTTTTCGGGATCTTCATGCTGAATGCTGCTCCTCTAGCATGTGGTTATGAGGGTTCTTTTCAAAGACTGGACTTTTGGTAGTTGATGTCTTCAAGCTTATCACCCAGTGTAGCTCACAGATTTTCGATTAGAAACTGGTCAAGGCTATTGGCTATTCTTATACCAAAAATTCTTTCTCGAAGCAGACTCCTTTTAATGTGCTATAAGTCATTTTCTAATACTTAGGGGCCCAAATTCAACCCGCCAACCTTTATGATCCACCCTATAGTTAAAACAAAGATGATGACGAAAAATATTTGTTTACGACGAAAATTACATAATTTGTAAAACCAAAAAGTAAAAATTATTTGAGTTTAGAAACTTGTCTTTCATGAAGCAGAGAATGAGTAGAACAAACCAAAAAAGAAAAACATTTAAGGTAAAAAAAATGTTCATTTCTCAGAATTTTATTCAACTTTTTTTTATTTTTTTGTACTTTTTGTTCAATATTGGATTCATTTTGATCAAGTTGCTTAATTAACTGCTAAGATTTTTGGGAAATTGATGTAAAGCTAAAGTAGTGCTTTGGATCCATTTAATTTTGTGCTGGTCCGGATCCTGATCCGCGGATCCGCATTGGCAAAAAATGGATTCAAATCGTCAACATTTCATTAAGATTTACTCATTTTTAAACAGAATAAGAATTTTCAAATTAATTTTCTTCTTTTTTTGTTTTTTTCTTATGATGAAAGCATTATTCAGAGATGAGGAAATTTTTGACAATCTTTTCAGTTCAGATTTAGGTTTTGAGAGAGAAAGATATTTGTTTTATTTTTTGATTGATATTTTGGTCCTTGGATAAATTATCCGGATCCTTTAAGCCAAAACGTTTCGGATCCAACAGATCTGGATCCTAAGCACTGGCTAAAAGTAGTTGAATAGATAGTTGCATGACACTACTTTTCTATTGTGGCAATAAATTCAATATGTTATCCTCCATCTTTATTTATTTCATTTAATCCAAAGTCCGCAATATTTTTGGAAGCTGATTATTAGTGATTTAACAACTATGTGTTTTTTTGTATGTTTTGTCTCAAGGGTATTTTTTTAGAGGTTGAAAGAATTGAGCTTTTTCACTCTGTTCAAAAACACCTCACACTAATTGATTGATTGATTGCTTTATTGACTGGTAGATTAATTGATCTAGGTGGATAGTTTGCTTGAGACTAGGAAGGAGAAGGGTGAGGCGGAGGGGGTTCAGAGAGGAGCTTACATCACCATAACATTCCTGGGCTTCTACGATGCAAAGAGAAACGGTAAATTTAAAATGATATTTTTCAACGAAAGTTTGACGTCATATTTTAATTAAAAATATTTAGTTCATTTTAGCCCGAACCCTCCAAACTTTTTCCTTTTAAACAGTAGGGTCTAAGTGGCAAGTGCGTTCATCCGATTCAGCTCCGTTATTCTAAATCAGTATGCGTTTACCAAAGGATAAACCCATATTCCGAGGATAAAATCTTAAATCTGTGATTACAGCGCTTAGCTGACTACCTTTCCTGTTAGCGGCTATACTCCTTAGTTCGTTTCCTTTCAAAGTTTGCATTTACCTTAACAATATTCTCATTAATTATTCATTTAAAGTTAATAATTCAGATTTCTATATAAAACTTTTATATTCTTATTCCCGCAGGTAATTATTTTATTCAAACCCAAGCACAGCTGGAGGAAACTAAGCATTGTTGGATGAAACTTAATACAGCATAGCTGAAGGAAACTATGTACAGCTGAAGGAAACCATGTACAGCTGGAGGAAACCAGGAACAACTGGAGGAAACTAGGTACAGCTGGAGGAAACCAAGCATTGTTGGATGAAACTAAATACAGCACAGCTGAAGGAAACCATGTACAGCTGGAGAAAACTAGGTACAGCTGGAGGAAACTAGGTACAGCTGGAGAAAACTAAACATTGTTGGATGAAACTAAATACAGCACAACTGAAGGAAACTATGTACAGTTGAAGGAAACCATGAACAGCTGGAAGAAAACCAGGTACAGCTGGAGGAAACCAGGTACATCTGGAGGAAACCATTACATTTGGAGGAAACCAAGCACAGCAGCTGTAGGAAGCTAAGTATAGCTAAAGGAAACCACAAACAGTTGGAGGAAACCAAGTACAGCTGTAGAAACACAAGAACAGTTGGAGGAAACCAGGTACAGCTGGAAGAAACCAAGTACAGCTGGAGTAAACTCGGAATAGTTGGAGGAAACAAAGCACAGCAGCTGTAGAAAGCTAAGTACAGCTGGAGGAAACCAAGTACAGCTGCAGGAAACCAAGAACTGTTGGAGGAAACAATTGTACAGCTGCGGGAAACCAAGAACAGTTGGAGGAAACCAGGTACAGCTGGAGGAAACCAAGTACAGCAGGAGGAACCCCAGAACATTTGGAGGAAACCAAGCGCAAGCTTAAGGAAGCAATGTACAGATTGAGGAAACCATGTACAGCCGGTAGAAATCAAGCACAGCAGCTGAGAAAAACTTTGGATAGATTTACATTCTGCGCTCAGGCTTAACTTGGCCCGCCTTATCTACGTATATTGGCGTACTCGTAATCTTTACAATGTGATTTAAATATTCTTGTACTCTAAACCTAACTATCATAGTGAAATAAACTATTGGATAAAACCAGGTATTCATCTATCTATAGTGATGAACTTCTCCTGAATCGATTAAAACTTAAAGTAGTAAAGCAATTCAAAATACATCCAATATAAGTTTAAAGGTTTTTAGAAATAAGTCTTTAAAAAGATAAATAAGTCTTTAAAAAAGATAATTAAATCTTTAAAAAAGATAAATAAGTCTTTAAAAAAGATAATTAAATCTTTAAAAAAGATAAATAAGTCTTTAAAAAAAAATAAGTCTTAAAAAAGACGCATTCCCAAACGGTTTGTTGTTATTCCTTCTAAGTGTATCTAATAAACTTCTTATATTTTAGAAAAGTTAACTCCTAAAGTAAAGCTTGATCTATCCTTGATCAATTCAACGCACAAGAAAAGAAAAGAGTCATCTAAACCCCATGCTCTGGTGAGTTAATTTTCTAAACGTGGATTTCATAAAAAAAAAAAAAAAATCGGAAAGGGAATGAATAGATCAAACACAATCAGAAATGTTTGATAGTTTTCTAGAATTGATATAAAATTATGGATGACCTGTTTTGTAGAACCCCACGAAATTAATTGCTAAAAAATCCCCAGAAATCATTTCACGAAGGTTTAATTGAAATTACTATTTCCGAAAATCTATAAACGTAAATGGTGACTGAGCTGGAAGGGGGCTCAAGCCAGATTTCCAAAAATAAAAGGATAAAAATGATAATTGTTATTTTGTTTAGATACCCCTGGGAGCCGTAGATGTTCCCGTTAATCCATCCGAATCTAATCCCCCCAGCAAGGTAATTATCACTTTTTGTACACCTCGCCTCCTTTCCAATGTACATTGTACACTATACACTTTTCAACTACCTACCAACCTAACTACCTGGCTCCCTACATATCTACCCACCTTCCACCTATATACCTATATACCTGCATAACTACCTACCTATCTACCGACCTATACCCACCTACCTACCAATTTACCCACCTACCTACCTACCTATCTACCGACCTATACCCACCTACCTACCCATCTACCTGCCCACCTACCTACCCATCTACCTACCTACCCATCTACCTACCTACCTACCTACCTATCTAGGCTCCTGCTCTATCTATCTCCTCCTACCACTTGGATGGGATACAAGTACCTGGAAACAGATCTAGAACTTCAACATTAGTTTTCAAGTAAAGTCTCTTAAAAAAAATATTTCTACCCCCCCCCCTCCTTTCTTAAAATAATTTATTTTAACCTATAACTTCTCGAGGAAAAATTATAGGATTTTTTGTTTCTCTTGATATTCGTAACTTTCTTCATCCAATATTCTTGCTAGATCAGCAGAAATTTAATTATTATTTCATCTACTTCATCGAACGAAATATTAAGTAATAGTAATAGTAGTAACTGTAAAAACGTATAATTAGTTGTTTATTCTTCATCAAATATCACAACTTTTTGTTTTCTTATTTTTAAAGAAAAATTTAAACATAAATGCGGTTTATTTATATTTCTGCTCTTCTGTTCAGATTGGTCGGATGCATGAAACAGATGCTGTTAGATCAGCTGTCGCCGAGTTAACTGTTACAGATAAACATTCAAGACTTCAACTGACAGAGGTAACAGATGTAATAACACTAGGGCAAGTGGAGGAGCTCAACCCTGTTTTCATTGTATTTTAACCTATGGTCTTTGTACTTAGTCTGTAGGTTGATTGTTAAGGTTGACAATAAAAAATACACTGGGTACATCTGAATCAAGCAGAAAATATAGGAAATGTTTTACAAGTCTTGAAAAAAATATTGTTTCAGGGTGAATATGAGCTGATAATGATGTATGAAGAACAAGAGGATAAAAGATTTTCTCCTAAAAAATCAGCTTCTTGGGAGCTGATTGATCTAGATAACACAGATAAGGTAGAATATTTAATCCCTATTCTATAGAATCTTGTTTCAGCATCTGAGTCTAAAACTAAAGAATCCGCGAATAAAGAATTAGTTTAAGTTACAGCTTAAAAATTTTTTTAAATAAGAGTTAATTTACCTAAATTTTATCTTTATGTTATGTAGGTTTGCGAATAGCGGCAAAAAAGATGTATAGGGTTTTTTTCGCCCGAATTGGGGTAAATAAATGAATTTTTGGATAAATAGTATTAAAAAGAATGAATAAACTTGCCTTTTGATGTTCCATTTTACTTTTTTATTTTTACAAATCATTAAAAATAATTAATTCCGGAAGTATACACCCCTGATATGAAATATAAATCTGTTTAACTCTAAAATAAATATAGAGTGTGTGTGATGAGTTCAACAAGTTCTCAACGAACTCTACCTTGAAATTCAGACTCTCCTGGGCCTCGGAGTCTGCGGGTACATTGGTAGAGAGGCCTAGACCTCTCATGCCCAGGTAACAAACCGGGGGATCAGGGGGAGGCGGGGTTGGGCTATCAAGGGGAGGGAGGGACGTATCAACGCTAGGGAAATGGCGATGTGAGACATGGAAGGTATCGATGTAAGAAATGGGGTAGGGAGGGGTCATGTAAAGAATGGGGAGTATCTAGTTGAAGATAGGGGTCATGCAAAAAAAGGGAAGTATCAAGGGGCAGGGGAGGTGGTGTATGAAATGGGAGTATCAAGGGGCAGGGGAGGTGGTGTATGAAATGGGAGTATCAAGGGGCAGGGGAGGTGATGTATGAAATGGGGAGTATCAAGGGGCAGGGGGGGTGATGTATGAAATAGAAGTATCAATAGGTAGGGAGGGGTGATGATATGAATGGATAGCATCAAGGGTAGGGTAGGGGTGATCATAGGAATGGGGAGTATCAAAGAGAGGGGGGTTGAGGGGTGATGTAAGAAATGGGAAGTATGTTATAAATTTTTCCGACGATGTATTCTTCTAACAATAATTTTTTCATAATTGTTTTTAATTTAATTTTGCAAGAAATTATGCTTTTTATTATTGTTGTTGTTGCTGTTGCTGTTGCTGTTGCTGTTG